TTGCATAAATGCGTGAGATGATTCCTTAATGTACTAGTTCCGCAATTTTTTGCATGATGCTTATATGTTTGTCCACAATAATTACATTCTGCCTTTTCATCTCCTTGCATTTTAAAATGATCCCACACCTCGGACCTTTTGTTTCCCTTTTTGCTTTTTCCATCCATTTTCATATCTTCAGAGTCATCCTCTAATGGAATCACATCATCGGCTTCTTTTGAAATTGGATCCATATCTGAAAAAAGGAAAAGAAACAAATGAAATTTGAATTTGGCCCAGTAAAACCAGTGCCATCTGCCCTTTAGCACATTTCTCAAGCCATTTACACAAATACATAACTCTACATAATTCAGTTGTGATTACAAGTTCTATACTAGTAATCTTGTCGTTTTACTTGATTTCATGAAAGTGTCTTAATCTTTGCAGACACAAATTGATCAGTCAAATGTTGTTTCTGCCACCCAGACTACAAATCAGTTGGCAAGTGATGTTGTTGATTTAGCAGGAACACAATTGGGGACAACTACTGATAGTGATGATACATTTCCATTAGCTGATCTTCTCTCACATGAACCTTTTGCAGGACCATTTAAGTATCTTAAGAAAGACAAAGCACCAAAGATTAGTGCTGCAGATTCTACATTGGCCACTCTAAAGGGGATTAAAGCACTAACGGAAATATGTGCTGAAGATTTTCTCTGTCAAAACGAAATAGCTGACTTTGGAGTCCTGTGTTTACTTAGACGCCTTTTGTTGGAAGATGATTATGAGCAACTAGCTGCAATTGAAGCATATGATGCATCAAAAGCCCTGGAAGCACAGGATCCAGTGTCATCTGCCCCTGGTGAGTCAGCTGGGGTTGACACTATTGGTCCATCCAATTTACGAGTTCCTGCTATTGCTCACATTCGTAGACACGTAGCTAGGCTTCTAACAGTTCTTTCAGTTCTTCCAAAGGTCCAGAAAGTAATTGTAGCAGATGAATATTTGTGTAAATGGCTTGAGAAATGTGCTAAAGGGCATATTTACCTTACAAACAACAGAACAACACTTTCAAATACCCAATACTTAGGTTTCTCTTTCAATCTTATCGAACAACGTACTGTACAACTCCCCGACCAAAGAGGCCCGGGGAAAAAATTGATCAAAAATTTTGATACCAGAGAACAATGAGATTCTAGAGCAAGTCTAATTGAATAGCTGTTGAGCGATTTGATTTGTAGATTATCTTGGTGTCTGAAGGTTTCTTTCAAAAACAAATCTTTTTTATACAATAAGGCAAATAAAATCAATAAGTTGTTCGAATCATTTAATAATAGTTGCAAATAAAGCAAAAAACATAATACCTTGTTCAATAAATTAGCATAGGTATTTGAGAATCCGTGACTGAGGTAGAGGAAAATTGGAAACAAAGGAGATTGAGGAGAGAGTGAGAGATGACACGCACCGTNGAGGAAAAATGGAAACAAAGGAGATAGAGAAGAAAGAGTGAGAGACGACACCACCGTTTGGTTTGTTGGGATTTGGGAATATGATTACATTGATTAGGTCACACGTTAAAAAGTTGGGTTGGATTAAAAAGTTGGGATTTGGGAATATTATTTGGATTTTAAGTTGTGGGCTGCTCTTTGGTTACTAAAGTATAAATTATTAGATAAAAAAAATCCAAAATTTTGATGAAATATATATGAGAATTTATAATTTAATAATAAAAAATTTTAATTAAAAACAGTGCGGTTCGGTTCGGTTTTGTACAGTTTTTGAAAATCGAAACCTAACCCAAACCATTTTGAAACGGTTTGGTTCGGTTTGAGGGAAAAAAAATCGCGGGTCCACATGGACCCAAACCAACGGTTTCGGTTCGGTTTGCGGTTTCACGGTTTTTTTGTGCAGCCCTAGCTTTAATGATTTTCTTATTCAGTAAATTTCTCTAAGTGTTGCAGCACATGAAACCTTAATTTAGCCTGCTGATGAGCAGCGCTTTACCGATTTCCTTATTTAGGAAATTTATCCAAGTGTTGCAGCACATGCAACTTTAATTCGGCTTGTTGCTGAGCAGGCTTTAATAATTTCCTTATTTAGGGAATTTATCTAAGTGTTGCAGTACATGCAACCCTAGTTCGGCCATCTGATGAGCAAGGTTTTAATGATTTCCTTATTTAAGAAATTTCTCTAGGTATTACAGTACATGCAACCGTAGTTCAGCATGTTTATGAGAGGGGCTTTGATGATTTCCTTATTAAGGAAATTTCTCTAAGTGTTGCAGTACATGCAACCTTAGTTCGGCCTGCTGATGAGGTGGACTTTAATGATTTCCTTATTTAGGAAATTTATCTACGTGTTGCAGTACATGCAACCTTAGTTCGGCCTGCTGATAAGCAAGGGTTTAATGATTTCCTTATTTAGGAAATTTCTCTAGGTGTTACAGCACATGCAA